ATTACAGGCATGAGCCACCATACCTGGCCTAAACTGGGTGCTTATTTTCTAGGAACTATTAGAAATAAAAGGAGGCTATTTCTTGTAGGCCCACTTGATTATCTTTAGGTATATGCTCTTTTGAGGAGCTGGGCTGAGATTTAATTAGAAAATACCATATAAAAACAAAATCCTAGATAAATAAATTGAGACATATTCAAACAATAAAATTAAAAGGAATAAACTAGAATCACATATATCAACATGGCTAAAACTAAAAATTATAATGTTAAAAAAAAGAGGAAAAAATTTCTGTAGTAACACATACAATGTGATATCATACATTTAAAGTGTGAAAACATGCAAAAACAGTTTCTACATAGTGTGTGGATATATACATATGTTGGAAATGTTTAAAAAAAAGAGCTTAGCAGTGACGAATCATAAATTTTTAAGTAGTTATTTCTGGAGAGAGAGGAAAGGTATAGGGAACAGGGAGGGGTACACGGGAGTTTCAATCGTATCTTTCATGTTTTGTTTTTTTTAATGAACTATTTTCTTGAGACAAATACAGTAAAATGTTAAGTGTTGTTAGAGCTGGGCAATTGGTTAGTTCAATATATAGTTGCTTGTTATATTTATTATTTGTATGTTTAAATATTTCATCACGAAATATTTCATTTTTCATATTTCATGATGACATATTTAATATTTTAATCCTTGTTAAGTATTAGGATAATTTTTTTAAATGTTACCCCCTTTACGTAGAGACGAAGTCAAAAGAAGAGGTAAAAATGAAGTTGTTAAATTTAGTTTGTTCTTCTCCCAGTAGGAGAATGTTCAGGAAGATAGCCAAAAACTTGATAATTGAGTTTTGCAAAGGGGTTCAAGTGATCCTCAGTGCTAGCTCTGAGGCTATGCCAGGCATGTAAGCTTGAGCCATGTGAGACCCCACATGCTTCTCTCAGATGATCTTCCAGTGGGTGTTGGAGGTGCTGGGTCTGGAGCCATGTTGGCTTTGTGTGGTGTTCTAGCTAAAAAATGGTTTAAAATGTTCTATTTACAAATGTGTAGCCAAATAGTGTGGATGTCATCAAAGGAATGATTTACTTGATTTGCCAGATCTACCTTGTTATCATGAAAATTTATTTTAGGAGTAAAGGAACTGAAATGTTTAGTCAAATTCTTTATGTTAAGCAAAGTAAAGTCATAATGGAAAGAGAATAAAGAAATGCATGAAATGTTAACTCAAGAGAAGTCATCTTAAAAGAAATCCAGTTTAAAAAAGTGTTTGAAGACATGTGGCATCCCTAGCACAGAACTCCCTCTAGGGCTTTAGACGATGGGGTTTCCATTTGGATTGAGGCTCTGGTTCCCCAGTGGTCTAGGCTGCCTCTGTTTCTTTAGTGCACATATTTTCAACCTGGAGCCCACAGATCCTCAAGTGCTCCATGAATAGAATTTGGGGAGTCTATGAAATTGGTTAGGAAAAATAATTTTCATTGACCTCTAACTACAATTTAGCATTTTTCTCAGTTATGAATGTAAGCAATTGGAATTTAACAGTGCTGGTGACTTGGTCATCGTGTTCAAAAGAGACTGGTCTGTGATTTTCCTTTCTTCAAATGCCGTTGTGAGGTTTTGGAGTCAAGGTTATGCTGGTCTCAAAACAAGTTGGAGGATTTTATTCTCTGGAAGAATTTATATGAGGTTTATATTATTTCTTCTTTTAACATTGAATGGAATACTTTGGTGGAGTCTTTTGGGGCCTAGAACTTCTTTATGGTGAGAGAGTTTTAAAATATAGATTTAATTTACTTAATAGATACATGATGGTTCAGATAGTCTATTTCTTCTGGTATCAGTTTTGGCAAGTTTCTTCTTCCTAGAAATTTGCCCATTTCATCACCATTTTCAAAATAATGGGTGAAAGTTGTTTAAAATATCCTCTTTATGATGACTGTAGAATGTGTAATCCTGTCCTCTTCTTCATTCTTGATATTAGTTAGGTAAAAATTATAAACGCTAACAAAACTAAGAGCTCATAAGGGTTTACGGAAATGGTTGCCATTGATAAGAGTTCAGATTAGTACATTTCTACAGTGTTGTTTTGCAGTGTAGCTCAAATATAAAATGTGAGTATATTTTATCCATTAACCCCTACCCCTTTTTTTTTAGCTGGAGTCTCACTCTTGCCCAGGCTAGAGTGCAGTGGCACACTCATGGCCACCCGAGCATCGGCCTGCTAAGCCCAGGCAATCTTTCTGCCTCAGCCTTCCAAGCAGCCGAAACTATGGGCATGCGCTACCATGCCTGGCTAAATTTTTATTTATTTATTGTAGAGATGAGGTTGCACCAGGTTGCCCAGGTTGTTTTCAAACCTGGGGGCTCAGGCAGTCCGCTCACCTTGGCCTCCCAAAGTGCTGGGATTACAGGCTTGAGTCACCATGCCCGGTCCCAATAACCCCTTTTAAGAAATTTGCTATAATTTAAAAAATCTCACACATGCAGAATATTCAATAAGATCTATAGCATACCACCCTGAATGTATCCAATCTCATCTGATCTTGGAAACTAAGCAGGGTTGGTCCTGCTTCATACCCAGATGGGAGAAATATTTCAACCTGGAGCCCACAGATCCTCAAGTTCTCCATGAATAGAATTTGAGGAGTCTATGAAATTGGTTAGGAAAAATAATTTTCATTGACCTCAACTACAATTTAGCATTTTTCTCAGTCATGAATGTAAGCAATTGGAATTTAATAGCATTATCTGTAATAGCAAAAACATATTGGAAACATATCAGTAGAGGACAAGGAATTGATTCTTTATATTCACTAGAATACTTTCTAGTTACAAAATCAAAGCTATCATCATGGGAAAATGCTAGGGACCTATTGTTAGTTACGAAAAGCAGGTCACAGAAGAGCATACACAGTGTAGCCTCTTCTATGTGAAAACACATACATACTTCTATATGTGAATGTACATGTAGTGAATAATTTGGAAGCATGGCTATCAAAATTCTAATAGTTATCCATGAGTGGTAGAGTACTGGACAATAGTTATTTTCTTTTTGCTCTTCTATGTTGTTTGAAATGTTTGCATGAGCATGCATCATTCCTACAAAAATAGCAAAACTTTCTAAAGATCTAAGCAATAGCAAGAAAATGAGAGGGTGGTAGTGGAGGAGAGTGTCAAAGCATTTTTGTCGCCTCAGTGGGGACAGCCAGGGAAGGAAAGTTTGGAGCTCTAAGAAAGAAGGGGTAGTCAATTGAGTAAAGTCCTTAGAAAGGTAGGAGGAGTAAGACTCACACACAAAAGTCAACCTTAATGGGGCAGGACATTTCTTTCCAGAAAGAAGGAAAAGATGGTTGAAGATATGAAGTTCAGAGCCGGAGAGAAGGGAAAATGAGAATGTTCACAACTCGTGACTTCTAGTTACTTGGTGAAATCCAAGCTTAAGACCATTTTCCAGGAGTGGGGAAAATAAGAGTAGAACAGGGATCTTGAGGGGAATGGTGAGGGTCTCCAATGTAACTGACAGTAGGAGAGGGATTCGATGAGCTGACTAGGGAACTTACTGAAACTGTAAATCCTGCATTTGTAAGGAAGCCCAACAATATGACTAGCAGTCTTTCTATAGAGGAAGGGAATGATCAGTACAGAGTTGGACATGGCCTAACAGGCTTTGCAGAGCTTCAGAGAATGAGAGAATTCAGGACACTGATAAGGGCAGTTTAAATGATTGGCCTTAGAATCCAAGATGCGGGAGAAAAGTGAATTAGAAAGAGTACCAAGGACTGGATAATTAGTTGGAATGTGGATATCTAAGAAGACAAAGGATAGGAATTCATGGTCAAAGTGGGGTTTCAGAGTTTTGACTTATGATAGAGTTTGACATGTTATAGAAGTTCTGGGGAACATGGAGTTTGCTAGGTGGCTATGAGAGAACAGGAATGGTCACAGAAGTTGGGAAGGTCAGAGAGTTGTGATGCTGGAAGTTTCAGTGTTCTTCCTCATGGATGGGAGCATTTCCAAGGGAGGTGACAGATATTCTTTTGGAGGAGAATTTGAGGCCAGTAGAGATTGACTTCAAGGATGGAAAGAGGGTTGACTCCTCAGAGAAGCCTTAATAAAGAGAACTGGTCCTGGTCCTGGTTGAGCTGCTATGGAATAGCAGGGAATTTGCTGACCCTCTCTGCCAAGACCAGAACCCTGAACTCTGGCAGAAGTCTCCTTTTGATGTTGAAGGGCAAAGCCAGGTTTGCAGTACTGGAGGCTGGCAAGAGGAATGGTCTGGAAAAGAAGAAGGAATGCTCTGAAGAAGCCTCTTAGCACCGGGACAAGGAGTGTGGAGTATAGATGAGCAGGCAAAAAAATGTGAGAAAGGGCTCTAAAGAGAGACAGACTAGAGAGACTAGTGAGAGGAAGGGCTGAGCTGCAAAGCGGTGGAGATGTGTATACAGGTTTTCCAAAGGAAATGCTGAACTGTGGATTTCTTTTTCTTATCACAAAGCAGTGTCTGCTCACTACAGAGAGAAAGAAACTACAGACAAGCAAAAAGCAAAAACAAGTAAACAAAAGAACCATAAACCACTCACAAGCTTAGGGTCCTGGAACTTTTCCCATTGACTTGTTTTTCCTCTCAGTTCCCACTGCCACAGCTTCAGGTCAAGGCCACATCATCTACAGCAACAAGCTTGTTCTCTGGATCACAAATGTCTCTCCCCCTAGCTGAGGCCCCAGGCCTATCTCAACTTCCCCTACCCCCAATCCTTCCCATCCTTTGTGGGCTGCTTCCCAAAGCACCACTTTCCTTAATCACTTCTCTTCTTAGGTTCTATCATATTCTACATCCCCTCCCTGGCTCTCAAGGGTGTCTGTAACCTAGAACCATCTTACTCTCCTTCCTTATTTTCAAGCCTTCCCCTTTTCTTAGACAAGCCTTCCCATTTCCTTCTCAACTCCTGCCCCCCCACACACACAGCCTCACATCTGGGTCTGTGTCCCCTCACTAGGATATGATGACCATCCGGTTTAGATTCTCCCAGTTATCAAGGCCCTACACCCCACTCCAACCCGTGCTGATCTTTGCCCTTCCAGGTACTCATCTGACCACTCTGTTTAGGACTTATACAGTTCTGTTTCAGTAAACACTTAGTGGGAAACACAGGTTTTAGAGCTGAGCAGAATCTAGGCCAGTGATCTTACCAATGAGGAGCCTGAGATTTAGAGCTTGAGACTAAACCCTGATTCTCAGACCTGAATGCTACTTGTTAAGTTGAAAATTGCTTTCATAATACAGCTTTTCTCTGTTGCCTGACTGTGAAGCCCCAGAGGACCAAGCAGTGGTTGTCAGTGTTCGGAGTACAGCAGAATTACCTGGGGAGATTTCTAAAACTCCAGACTCCCAAGTTTCTAAAACTCTGACTCAGCAGGTCTAGAGTAGGACCTAAGTTTCTGTAAAAACAAAAACAAAACCTCCCTGGATGATCCTGATCTAGGAAGTGTTTGGATCATCCTTTGGGAAAGTCAGCTTTAGAATTCATTCTTTGGTTTTGCTTTCTCATTTGAGCTCCCTGACACTGCCCTGTGGACGCTGTTAAGTTTTTCTGAAGCTTTCTCAGCTCAGGAGCAGGTTTGGGTTATCCATAACCAGATCTCCATCCAGAATGAGACAAGCAAAAGCTCAGTACCGGAGCCTGTGTCCCTTCTCAGCCAAGCTGATCTGAGCCCAAGCTGGGACAAATTATTTTTTGAAGTACTTTTAAGCATACTGTAGCAAAATATTGAGTGCAGTGGAGTTCTTGTTGGAAACACCCCGTTGGCCAAGGTGTTCATGAGCACCTTCTTAAGCGTGGATGCCTAGCTTCTGTGGCCTGCCAACTGTCTGCGCCACGGGTAAACCAAACCCAAACTGTCTGCACCCAAGTAAACCCAACCCAAACATGTGCCTCGTGCTTGCCAAGTCCCAGCACACAGAGCCCTGGACCAGGATTATGAGGAGAGGTGGTTTGTGTCCTGACTTGGGCAAGGCCCTGGACACACTGCTTGGGTTTCTATCCCAATTCCACAGTTTCTAGCTGTGTGACCTTTGACATATTTCCTCATCTGTAAAACAAGAGTAAAAATTATATTGTGAAAACAATTCCTACCTTACAGAATCATTGTGTGGGTAACAAATTAGTGCAAATAAAGCACTTGAAACAGTGCTTGGCACCTAGTAAGTGTTCACTAAAGACTTGCTGTTATGATTATTTCATGAAAACTAGAATGAAATCATTGGGCCCTAAAGATGACTCACTGCTCTACACACTTATCGTCTAAAAGTTATCAATCCCCCACCTTGTTGCATGAGCATAGATCAGGAATGATGAGCAATGTAGTAACAGCTCTTCAAAATGCTGCCTGGACCTCTAAAGACATTTAAAAATGCTAGGTATTTCCCAGCGATAAGGTCAAGCCTTGCATAATTTAAGAAATATACAGCAGTTCCACGTTTTGGTGCTTTGATAAGGTGACAGTTATATAACAGGCTGCAACCACGCAGATGAGCAGAGCCAAAGATGGGGGAGAGGGTGTTCTTAAAAGCTGTGTGAGTGTTGGAGTGAAGTGTGTGATCGATGAGAGATGTGGAGTTTCAGTCTGGGAGATCCACTCATGCCCTGTGACATTATACATATTGACTTGACAGCAGGAACATCTCCTGACATTTATGGTCAGACTAACACCAATGGGAGGGATGAAAGTTTGTCTTATATTTGCCATATCACCAACATTTTCTTACTCTTCAGTAATGTCTTTAAGCTAAAAGTAAGATTGCAGCAGTCTGTGGCATGATACAAAGCTGAATTAATCTCTGAAATTACATGTTTTATCAAACTTTTGTAAAAGACTCAACTCAGAGCCGGGCTCAGTGGCTCAGTCTGTAATCCCGCGCTTTGGGAGGCTGAGGTGAGTGAATTGCCTGAGCCCGCGGGTTTGATACCCGCCTGGGCAACTTGGCGAGACCTCATTTCCACAACAAATCAAAATTTAGCCGGGCATAGTAGTGCGCACCTGTAGTTCCAGCTACTTGGAAGGCTGAGGCCAAGGATCACTGGAGCCCAGCAGGTTGAGGCTGCGGTGGCCGGGAGCGGCCACTACACTCCAGTTTGGGCGACAGAGTAAGACTCCAACTCAAAAAAAAAAGACTTAACTCAGTATTGCCAGAATATCACCTTCCTGTATCATGTTGCCAAGTAGTTAACTATCCTTGATGCTCAGGCATAGTGGTGTCATTCTCCAGATTTTAAGCACAGGAGAGCTCTAGAAGGATTTCGGAAAGCAGGGTCCCATAGCTTACTTCTGTTTGTGGGTAGGAGATGCTAGTCTGTGAGCACGTCACAAGTGATCCTGTGGGCTAACCATTAAAATACTTACACTGCCCTGTTGGAGATTTACAGTATCTCTTTAAAAGGGGACTAACTGAAATGGATTGCTTGGTGTTTGTCATAACAAGGCTCAAATGTTTAGAGTCCATAAAGCCAGTTTGTTTCTGGAACCATCTTTAGGCCAGGCATTATCCTCAACTTCTAGGAGTGACTAGAATAGCTCAGTTGTTGCTCAGCTTTCTTAAAAATGATGCTCAAGCAGAGGCCTTTCGATCCAGGGACTGACAGGGTACTAGAGAGGGCTGCCGCCAGCCAGGACAGGCCAAAAGTGTTGATTCTGCCACAACATGCGGTAGCCTGCCACATGCCTTTGGAAGAAGCTGCTGTGGAATCAGTCTCTGGGAGTGGATGAGGCCCAGGTGAACCTTGTTGGATTTAAATGTATATTATCTCTTGATCTCTTAAAATACATTTTATTTTTCTTTACAAACGAGAGCAAGATTTGGAATGAAGATTTTCTTTGTTATTGCTGCCTGTCCAAGCAGTGTGGGAGATCAGAAGGCTAGTTTGGTGGCTGAGTGGCAGGCAGGAGGCAGGAGGCCTTAGCTAGCTGTGACTTGTGTTTACTCACGTGCTACCTCCTTAGTGCAGGACATGAACTGCACTGTGCTGTAGGGGAAGAACAATGGCATAGCACAGTCTCACTGACCACAGGTATATAAGGCATTAATTTGAATACCAAACTGAAATTTCTGATAACGTTTTTAAAAAGTGACTTAGCATACTTGAGAACAAGAAGAGTTTGAAACATAACTAACTAAACAAGTGTCAAAATGTCATGGAAGGACTAGAAAATGAAATCTGGAATTTCCAAAAGGTAGAAAAGAAGAAGGGACAGAAAATAGAGAAGAAATAACAAAAATATCAATTGGTTCTAGGGAGAAGAACACAGAAAATAAAGAAAAGGAAATTATCAAACAACTAATACGAGAACATTTTCAGAACTGAAGGTTAAGGCACTCTATTTTGAAAGATGCTTTCAATCTAGAGTCCAGTACAGTGAATGAAAAAAAAAAATTACCCATACCCAGGCACATTATAATCAACATCCAAAACTTCAGAAACAGTGAATTATAAGAGCTTTTATAGAGGGAAAACTTGTCACAAACAAATCAGTGAAAATCAGAATACTAGCAGATTTTTTAACATCAATACTGAAAGCTAAAAGACAGAATAAGTCAACAAAATTCTAAGGGAAAGTTATTTTCCGTGTAGAATTTTATATTCAGCTGAACTTTCAATCAAGTATAAAGATAGAACAAAGACATTTTAGAATCTGCAAGGACTCAAAATTTGCTTCCTGTGGATCCTTTTCTAGGAAACAACCAGAATAACTATTTCAGCAAAATAGGGAAATAAATAAAAAACAGGGAGAAACAGAACCCAGGAGGCAGAGAACCAACATAGGAAAACAGCCAGAAGCAGCTCAGTGTGGCCCAACTACTTAGGAATTCCCAAATGATATAATATGCATGGACATTTGGAAGTATATACATGGCCTAGGTAGAATATTTGAAAAATTTTGAATATAAATACAGAGAAAATTAAGCAAATGAAATAAAGAAGGAATGCTGCCAGATGTGGTGGCTCACACCTGTAATTCCAGCATTTTGGAAGGCCAAGGCAGGAGGATTGCTTGAGCCCAAGAGTACGAGACCAGTGTAGGTGACCTATTGAGACCTCATCTCTACAAAAAAGCATCTGGGTGTGATGGTGTGCACCTTTAGTCCTAGCTATTCCCAGTCCCTAGGGAGGCTGAGGCAGGACGATTGTCTGAGCCCAGGAGTTTGAGGCTGCAGTGAGCTGTGGTCATGCCACTACACTCCAGCCTGAGCAACAGAATGAGACCCTGACTCAAAAAAAAAAAAAAAAAAGGAATGTTAACTCCAGGGGAAAAAATTATACAAGGAAACAGAAAATAAAACTCCTCAGCTTTTCAGTGAACAATTCTGTATTATCATAACAATAAAGGAAAGGGGAAATGTGGAGCTGGTGTAAATGAGCTCAAACAAAGAATTATAACAGGAAGTTAATAAAGTGTAAAATAGATAAATAAAAAATGACAATGTTAACATATTATTTGGTTAAAAAAATACTGAAAGTGTTTATCTCAGGGTAGTTTGTTTTTGTTTTTTTTAGTAATTTGATTTAAACCATGAGATTTTGTTTGCTCTGATAAAAATGAAAATTTAAAAAAATAAAAGTTTGGCCACCAGTAGAAAATTCCAGCCTGCATCATTCTACAAGCTTTTGCCACTGCAGCCATCACCAGTGTTGTAGATGGCAGCTCACAAGGTCATGTTCAGATCCAGGCTCTCTGCCTCGAGGTTCCTCGTTACAGGATGTCCTCCCTGTCACCGTTGGCAGGTAACTGGGCTTCTCCTGCCAGAGTCATACCGAGTTTCAGATGAGGTTATAAGTCTGCGCGGGGGTGCATACCTCATAACAGGAAGGGAGGAAAGAGGAAGGAAGGACAATATCCCCTTCATAGATGGATTTAGAAAATGGCTAGCCACTTGTTAATGAGACAACTCCAGGGAAATTGTATCCGAAATGCACCAACCAGCTGTATATGGCGTCAAATATCAGTTCTACTTCACCATCTGAGGCTTGCCTGCTATGACTCTACAGTGCATCTCTAGGCCAGCCCCGGGGTAAAGTTAGTTAACC